ACACACACAGACAACCCCGTAACAATATGCGTTTTATACTGCTGTTACACAGCACAAAACGCATAATGAATGCTTAATAATGATATACATAAAATATAATCATTAGCGACGCACACCAGGCGGGCCCGCCCGATCCCGCGTTTCTGCAGTATTTCGTGCTGTAAGTAGAAGGATCGCTTGGGATTCCAGTACTGAGACACTGGTCCTCGAGGTTTAGGAGATTAATTGTGCAACTACGTGGTATTTGGACAAAAAACATCCCGTTAAATTTCAGTCTTCCAGCTTTTCCGGTTCCCGAATTAGCAATTTTCCCACCAAAAATTTTTGCGAGCCTGCATGTGAGAACCACGCACACCTGGAGGCTGAATTTGAAATCTTTGAATTCTATATGAACGAGGAACATCCTCTTAAAATTTTCCTACTTCCAGCTTTTTTGGTTCCTGAGTTAACAGATTTCCTGCCGAACCTTTTACGTGCTCGCAGAAGGGCTCGGACGTGATGAAGGCTGGAACTGCGGTCCTGGGGTGCTATTTGGCCCGGGGGACTCACAGGCAAAATTTTTGCGCTCAAGCTTGCTTGGTTGCCGAGTTGAAATACAGGGACAGACAAACAGTGAAACACACGCACGAACATACGCACACAAACGCATATCATGGGCACTCACAATATGCGTTTTTGCATTTGCATTAAAAAAATTAATTAGCGGAGCCGCCAAGTCATATGGTATACACTTCTGTTCATCACCACAACTGAACATCGCCAGTGTGATGGCTATGATTTCGGTTAATTAAGAGTACTTAAAAATTAATTGTTTAAAATATAAAAGAGTACGAATGTAAGATTTAACGAGAAGTTATAATAAAAAAAGAGTAACTGCGTTTGTCTTTTCTTCGCAACCGTCACACTTTCAAATAAATTTAATTCTTTTTCAAGCATAAAAGCATGGTACTCAGGTTAATTCTTAACAATCCCACAATCCAAGCAGTAAAACATGTTATTGCTGAAAACTGTATTATTGAAAAATTACTTTAAGCCCATCATCGCAATCATGATAGACTTTGAACACGGGATCAATTGGAGTCAGTTCAGCAGTATCTCCTTTCAGACTGAACATCCCTTGGCCATCGGTGTAGCCCTGGTCCAACAGGTCATCTGGATCAGGCCCTGAAACACTCGCACAAGAAGCATACTATTACTTATCGGCATCCATGAATTATTAATTTTCCCACAAGAAAATTCTAGAAGAGCTGAACAAATCACCGACCTGAATCTTCTTCCCAAAGTTTCACTCGAACATTACGTGCGGGAGCAGTACCACACAGTAGTTTGCCTTTGATTGCTACGGCTTGATGCCTCAGAGCCAAATTAATTGCTGCTTGGCCCAGTATTAGGACTAGGAGCTGCACATACATCTGGAAGTGTCAAAAAATAAAAAAGTAGGCAAGTAATGTAGAAGAGTGTTCAACACAGCTATCGCCATCAATTGAAACCTCCTCTTCATTAAAAAGGTTTCAAAACAGAGCCTGTGGCTGTATTCCTGAGGTCACTTTTGGCTTTAGGCTGCATTTAATGTCTCTTCTAGCTTACTTTACATCTTCCCTTTTCACTTCTATAGATAACTGATTTAACGACATTTGCGACTTAGCATTTTTTTCTAAACCTATTCTGACGAAACAACCATCGGTGAGCGATAGCGACTAAAGCTCATGTTCTGGATGTGCGAAAAACATTCTGCATACAGTTCCGGGACCCAGCAACATAACTGACACACTGACTTCCATATTTGCTGATACCGAATTCTGGGGACTCTATTTTCGTTGTGCGATTGAAGTTCTGACGGAGTGCGATTCCAGTGGAACTTCGAAACACTAACCTGAGTGAATAAAAATTCAAAGCTCAAATTCTAACACCTCACTAGCAGTAATCCGAACAAAACCACATTAGGTAGACTAGGTCCTTACAAGCCACAGTTTCTTTCCTATACAGAGGATTACTTGAGAAGCAAGCCGACCGGTACATCGCCGAAATTGATCAGGAGGTTAGTTGGCTTTACACGAGCTTACAATACGAACACTGGCTGAACATGGAAGACAAATACACAGATCACTCTGCCCAGCTACTTTCTTAGTAAGCTCAGTGATGGGAAAAAAAGCATCACCAATTGCTCGCTGAGAAAAACAATGACACTAACGAACCACATACAATGCCAGTCCATCTGGCCGACGATAAAAGCAGTGCTGTTACAGCAAACACTAACCCATGTCGACTTTCCCTCATTCTAAGAGATAATAAATGAGGGAACAGCATCTGTTGTTTTCTTTGAACTCCCCGACACTAGGCCTTTGGGCTTCTTGCACTAGTAGCTCCTCAAATTCAGTTTCGCTTATTTCTATGCCAGAGAGCTTGTATGTTTTTTTAGAAAACTTCAAAAAAGACGTTTTCCACTCTGAGTGAAGTGTTGAAGGTGATGCATGTCAATTATCATGTGTCATTACAGGACTGAACTTTTCATGTCCATGGTTTACTTTTTTCTGGATTACACTGTCAGCCTGAATTTTTTTGCATGCATGTCATCCCAGTCACATCTGCAATCCCACTTGTTTCATCCGCGACCGCACACACAGAAATACTTCGGATTTATGCAGAAACACATCCAAACAGCATTTTCAGAAGAAAGTTGAAGACATATATTTGAGAGAATACAACACAAACACAAATCAAGACAATCCCGAGCGGTTGGTTTCATCATTCCGTCCAGCGGTAAGCTGCAGTGCAAGCTAAATAATTTACTACAGCCAGCAACTTGTGTAAATACACAACAAAAGTTTTGGTCTGAGCATATTTTAACTTGAATAATACGGATCGGTCAAGCACAAATTCTAATCAAGCGTCATTTCGAGATACGGCAATGGTAAAGTAATGTGATGTATCCAGGCAAAGTGAAGTATAACCAACGCCAGCTTCAGATGCTAAAAAACCAGTCTACTGTTTGGTGACAGAGACCACCATCAGTTTGGCCAGTAAGATAATACACTGTGGCTAAATATTAATAGCTATGCAAAAAATAAACAGCGACGCGCATCAGGGTAGCCGGTGCGGTCACACGTTTTGAACAGTTCCTTCCAGCGAACATTTATTTGCTAAGAATTTTCACTGTTTTGCACCTTGGTCTCTGCGCAATTAATTGATATGTTGCCTGGCTCCTAAGCTGCGAAATTTTCCACTAAAAATTTCACATGCCGGCTGGATAATTTCCCAGCTAAAACATTCATGGGGCCGTTGTGACCCGGGCGTGCGTGGAAGCAGAATTTCAATTTGCGGGTTCGTACATGGGCAAGGGGCACCACTGTAAAATTCTAGCTTCCTAGCTTTCGTGATTCCTGAGACAATAATTTCCCGTCAAAATTTTCACTGGGTTGTACGTGGTAACCAGAAGTACGGGAAAGATGAAATTAAACTTGGTCGGAGTTAGAGCTTCCTAGCTTTTCTGGTTCCAGAGCTGAAAGTTGGGGATAAATTGTAGTCGGACACATACACACAAAATACAAGCCGGTGAAAATATACGTTTTGTTTAACTGCTGCACAGCACAAAGCACATTAAAAAAGCGCAAAAACCGATCTATAACGTGGCTTTGCAAGCTTATTTATGTCATACAACGTGGTTTGTAAACACTAAAATAAAACACCAATAATACCACGGCCGCTAGAACTATTAGTGTAGGATTCCACTGTTAGTGGTGTTATTGAGATGCTCACGCACGCCAATTTCAGCTTTGTTAGGCCATTCGGTCCTGGGCTACATACCTCCAATTAGCACTTATTACCTGTCCTATGTGCGCCGCCTCTTCCGGAGTTGCTCGAGTGGTCGTTTACTTCTCAGAGATGCCACTCACAAGTGCGCATCATTCCACCGGTTGTCGACAAGGCGAACAACATGCCACGTTCGTCGAAATTTGCTATTTCACGTGGACGCAGTGGTATTCTGATCGCTGCTCATTTGACGGAGAATCTGATTGTTCTTACGGTCGTGGAGAGATACGTTAAGTATCCTTCGCTCCTCCGCTCTTTCCGTCACTGCCAACGTTCGCGCTTCATCGTTCGTCAGTGACCACGTTTCGCATCCGTACGCTAGTTCTACCATGTGTTTTTGTGATCATCTCTTCCGGCTGCTTATTTGATGAATAACAATTTTCCTTCAAAAATTTTTTATTATAGCGAAGTAAAATTTTTAATTGTAAAACGGAGAAGTGTTTGACTCCCGTAGCTTAGTTAAAAGAGATAAATGGCCAAGGATCACGATACAAAAAATTTGCACATAATTCCAGAGCTAAAAAATTATGTAGTTTCAAATTTCGCGTGTCCATAGTTGAGACCCGGCGTGAGTGAAGGCTGAATTCGGTTTTACTTACAGGCAGGAAAGATCTTTCAAAAATTTTCATTTCCTTCTTGGAATTTCTGCTATCTTGTCTGATTCCCCAGTTAAAAAATTTCCTGCCAAACTTTCACGTGCCCGCACATGAGACCTAAGTATACAATGCAGCTGATTTTAGGGGAACGGAGCATCATTAAAATTACACCATCAGCCTGTCCAGCTTCCGAGTTGTAAAAATGCCAACAGTTTCTTGCCTAAGCTTTCGTATGTCCTTATGTGGAACGCAGGCGTAGGCAGGAGCCGAATCCAAAATTCCGGATTCGCACACGGACATGAAGCATCCCATTTAATTTTTAGATTTTTTGTTTCGTCTAGTCCCAAGCTGTAAAAGCACCAAAAATCTCCTGGCAAAACTTTCACATTTGCTTGCGTGAAAATAATGGGCAAAAATAAATTCTTCCTAAAATTTCGGCTTCTTAGCCTTCCTGGTTCCCGAGTCACTAATTTTTCAGCCAAGCACTTTAGTGTGTCCGTGCTTGAATTGCAAACAATGCGAAATTTGGAATAACATTTCTGGGCTGCACTTGGCCAGAGAACAAACTGGCAAAGCTCCAGCATTTGAGTTTGCTTTGTTGCTAGATTGAAATGTACGGTCAAAGAACACGTCAACACAAACGCACAGGGTTGCCAGAATACGCCCTTTTGTTCATTGTTGCAGCGGAAGTCGCTGCACCGCAAAACGCATAAGAACTGATTGTAAAACACTGGATTGCATAATGCTTACGGATCAGTGGAAGGACGGGAGAGGCAGTGGGACTATAGCAAGAATCACATTTTAGTTTCCCGTCGGGGACGCTAGCCAACAATTAAGCAGCCCACAGCTTTCGAATAAAATTAGATCTAAAGTTATCGGTATGGGTTTGTGAGCTGTTGCATGATAATTAATGTTGTGCAAAATTGGATGAAATAGAAGGTGCGACAAAAGAATGAAAGGCGACGAATTTTGGACTTTGTTCCAGGGATGCTACTAATAAAATTGTTTTCTTTTGCTCATTATCGTACTTGTGGCATACGTTTCGGTCAAACTGTTCGGAGCTGAGCCGCTCCCTCCGCTCCTTCCCTTCGTCAGGTCAAGAAGAAAGTATGCTGAATGCAAATGCTGCGAATCAAAGTAAGAAGGCACTTTGAGGAAGGGTACTTGACTTTTAGTCGCTAGCCCCTACTTACCAGTGCCTCATTGATCATGAAAAATTAAATAAAGACATAACTTTTTAGAGCTAATTGTGAGATTGCACTGAAAAGATGCAGCCGAGTACTGATTCCGGATACAGTTGCGAAGTGGGTAAATCAGCAGAACGAATGGGAAATTATGGACCAGTACGTACAGAATCCCATGAAGCAGCAAAGTGAGTATTCAAGTAATTGACAATGCTTACTTCCCTGCCACGTGCACCTATCCTAGCGAAGTATTTTTAAGCTGGACAATTTGGCATACAGTAAAATTTCCAATCAATCCGAACACAATCAAGACAGCTATTTCAGACTTTCTCATTTTAGAATACTTATCTGAAGAGATAAGTATTCTGTGCAAGCGCTACACGTTGTAAAGCCCGTTGTTCACCTGTATTTTGTAAATAAAACTTCAATCAATTGCTACTTAACTGAAGTGCCCTCGCACCCACGGCATTATTCTACTAGACTCTGCGCTTGCTACAACCACGCAACTTCTCTTTCAGATGCTCAGTTAACATCACAGGGATAATTCACTGAGTAATCTACACTGTTCATCCGCTGTCTCTCATTCTAGTTACACGCCGAAAGCCACTTTTGCCGGAGTACTTCATCTCATCAATGCCCTTAATCTAAGACCGAGGACAAACGTAGCATTTTATCAGATGCGTATTGTAGCCTGTTAGTTCTTACCATGCACCACCCCACAGTCAGCAATGTATTATTTGCCCGCCTCTCCTCAATGAAAGCGGTGTCTCCCAATTACAATCGCTTTTGAGCTTTTGGGAGACACGCCTCCGAGCACACACG